TTTTAGGAAGTTTCAGCTGAATCCAAGTTTGAGCGATTTTCGTCGTAGTAGCACTTTAATTAAGCAATTGAAGGTTGACTATAGGTTTCCAAAGGCAAAGTGAATATTGGTAAAAATTTACATGTACCATAATGACTGAGGCTGAGGTGAATAATCTTGGACTTGAATATCAGAGAAAATACAAAATTCAGAATTACAAAAACGTCTTAGTATTACTAACTTATGCCCTGGCATACTTCACCACTCGAGCAGTAACATGTATTCTTATAACCACTGGTATGTAGCTCGACCAATCACAACATATGGAATTCTATATTCAAACTTGTCTAAAATTACACTACTAAAGAATATTTTGATAATCTACAGTAGTAAACCTCTATTGAGGGAAAACCAGATATACTTGTAAGGACCCAAGGCTGTCTGCTTAATAGAGGCAGCACTGTATTCAAACTGGTTAATCATCTCTTTTTTTCTTTAGGATAATGCATATCTATGTACATCAGTAAAGCTACATGAGAGAGAGGAGTATGTTGGTGAGTAACTGTCAAATATATTATTGAATACTACATGCTTTACTCTATATACATGTATGTACTGGGACGATCAAAAAGCAGATTAGGAAGGGTGAAGTCTCACTGTTTGAATTCCAGGAATGTAAACAAAGTTAAGTTTAAAAAACCTAAAAGGAGCTTGTGTTTTTGTCTAGGGTCTAATGTCGAGGGTGGTGGGTGCCATATCAAGGGTCTTTTCAAAGTTATTTTCTATATTATGCATGCAATCATATTCCCATGGTTACCAAATTAAGAGATCATGAGAATGCTTTGTTGCTCTTTACCATTGGATTGTATATATATATATAGAGGCTGTTAAAAATATTAAAAGGTTAAAACCACTTCAGCAAACACAATACTAGTACGTATAACAAGCTTCTCATAATCAACCCATGGCCACCCACCCTGTGCACCCACAATACAACTGTTTTGGTTTTGGATCCAGAAGTTATTTCTTCAATACATGATTGAAGTCACACTTAAAGCTCTACAGTATGTAAAGCAGACATTTCCAACACTGATGACATCATTACCAAAAATCAGGTGTATGTCATCACTACAGAAATAAAGCTCCTTCAATTGTTCTATTTTTGAATTTTGGATAAAATTTGTTTGGAATTTTATGACCTCTTAGTAGTACTGTACAAACCAAATTACAGTATACTGCAAGATGGAAAATCTGTACAATTTTTCATGAGTTCAAATGATGTACTTTTCCATCCAGGGCTAGAAATAGTGGCCTGCCCATGACCAAAATGAAGATCACATTTTGCTACTGGCAGGCTAGAACAATTTTTAAACAGAAAATAAAATGGCACAGGAAATATTGTTCACCTATTTTTCCTGCTACAGTACTAAAAAAAACTATTTGACCATATTTATTTTTTATTTCAAACCCTGGCAGCTTAATCTACATGTTTAGACTTCTACACAGCTGATCTTCTTAGGGTTGTCACATTTTCATGCAATGTTTGTGTGATATAGACTCCAAGAATATTTTTGTATAAGAAGGTATATATATGTTATCTACTGATAAATACTCAGACTTATCCCATGAATCTTTTGTTGAACCTGTAGTACGTTTTGAGCCCAAGGCAAGCCAAGATGTTGCACACCACATGCTTTTATTTGGTTGCTCTCATCCGGGAAGTAATGGGAAAATCTGGTAAGAAAGTCACTATTGCTTAAACATGTACTATTAGTAATGCATAACTTTAAATTCATCTTGGTGCTACATTTACCCATTTCAAACCATTTCAGCAATTCCCTAGAGAATAAGATTCTTTGTTTCAGTTGTATCAATATTCATGTACATGTATCTTCTCATGACAGTGCAGATGAGCGCAACCATTAAACAAAGAAATAATACTCTAGAGAATGACTTGTGGTCTGAAATGGGGAAATGCGTTTTGATGTTCATTTACTTTTAGAGTTATGCTTTGCAGAGACACTAACTCAGACCACTTTTGCAAAGTTATTGCATTTTGATCTTAATCAACCATAAATTATTTATCAGATTTAGATCTTGTCTTCCTTGGTTTGCCTGTGTTATTAGTCTTTTAACTTGTTTCAGCCAACCCAATCAACAACAGTCATTGATATACTTGTCATCTTACATTATCTATCATTGTCGTTACCCCCAGGGCTCTCCTAATTACTTTAGAGACTCATTGCTGTTATGAGGACCATAATGTGTATAGAATCAACATGTTTTGGAAAAGACATGTACCAAAATCAAGGACACTAGGGCAGACAGATTGGGTTAGGTGATGTGTTTGTTCAATTATTTGTAGATTTCAGATTGGATTCAATATATGTATGTTTCAGTTATCCTTAGATATAAATAGAGTTCACTTACATGTATCTCATACAATGTAGGTGGTATTTGCCAGTCATATTTTCTGGTCATCAATGTCCTTTTGAGCATTTCTTTGATTTATCTTCTAGGGACTGTAGTGAAATGAAAGGAATGGAATGCAGTGGGAAAGAGAAAATTCTGTTTGCTTGGGCCAAAGATGCTCCTGCTAAAGACTTACCCAAAGGTGTGCTTAGTCTGCTTGTAATTCACCTTAATTCTGAAAATTTTATAAATAATATTGATAATTAGTATAATTTTTGACTTGGATATGATAATAATAATAATAATAATAATAATAATAAGATATAGAGTTTCTCAAACTGTGATCCAAGTAATACTAAAACATTTTTTATCCTGAATTTTGACTTTTAATAATAATAATAATAATTTATTACTTATAACGCGCAAATTAGCATGTGTATATGATCAAATGCGCTTTTCTCTGATATTTAAATCTAATATTTAACTAAAACAATTTTCCCTCAGGCTTGGTGATTATATATTATAGAATAAAGATACTATGTTATATATCAAGTTGTACATGAACAGTTATTTAGTATAGGAAATTGCATGAATATAATTTTGTAATTAATGTTCAAATGCATCCAATTAATGATCTTTCAATTCAAAAAGAGGTTAAAAGGTTTTTTGTGACAAATGATTTAAAACATAGATCCCAGGGTCAGATAGTACATCAGTACATCAGTACATCAGATAGACTTGTTATTTCATTTCTTGATCAACTACATTTAGAGCATTTGTTGCACCATAATTTTGATCCACATTATCATACCCATTAACTACTCAGCAACATGTTGTCTCGTTATTTCTTTGTCATATTTACAGTATGTTATGACTTGAATCTATACATAAACCAAAAAGAGCATACACAAATAAGGAACTGATCATACACATGTAACAAACCGACCAAAATGCATGTAACGAAACAATTGTAGTGCTCTTGACCAATCAGAATCAAGTAATTTGTGTGGATTTTATGAATTTTTCTGTGTTTGAAACTTTCAAAAAATTTTAAATTACATGAAAACAAAAGTCATGTCTGATTCAGTGGTGTTTTTTAGAAACCATGTTATGTGCCACACGAATAATGCAGGTATTTGCTTTATGGGCAATGAAATAGTAGTGAGTTGAGAAAAATTTTTTATTAATTTTGTWATCAATCTTTTAGGTGTTGCTTTTAAAGTGGGAAAGTCTTCAGGCATCAATTATCTTGTTCTACAAGTACACTACAAGCACAAGGCTAAAGGTATGAGTATGTCTACAGGCTTCAGACAAATAAACTTGTCACCACCAGTAATTGTACATATATTTTTTATTTCACAACATGTTTAGCCTCCTTCGCAGACATTCTTCGTAAAGAATGTCTGCAACTTTAGGAGGCTACAACATGTTTTGTTTTGTTCGACACGGGTAAGCAGATTGCAAGGTTGTCTATCTCTGCATGAGTCTGCAAATGCCACTTAGAGGCAACCCAGTTGATGCCTGTTTGGCATATTTTGGCATACACTATAGAATAGAATAAAGTGAAAGTGCCTTTGCTACTCAAACACACATCAACCTACTGTAGATCAATACAAGTGTTGTTGTATCGTTGCAGCTGGAGTAAAAGATCATTCTGGCTTTATACTACACACTACCCTTCAAAGGTACATATATTTCATTAATAGTAGATATTCATTCATGATCATGTATTGAAAATTGATGATTTAGTGGATGGTAGAGAGACATTGGGGTGGGGGGCTATAGCAAGCCACACCCAAGTCTCTCCCTCTCCATTTTAAATCCAGTTATTCTACTTTTAATGAATGGATAAATATTTTGTTAATTCATCATTGTTTTCCTCTGTAGGCAGCCGTTCATAGCAGGGATATTTCTATTATGGTCAGCAAATACAGACATTGCACCAGAAGCAAATGGTACATTTTTATTATGATTTTTGCATCATTTTATAACCCCCCCGAGGGGGTGGGGGTACTCTTGCCTGTTTAGGGTAGGGATGTGCCGCTGAGCCCTCTGAACCCTGACCCTGTTCCAGAGTAAAACCCCTGAAATTCATACCCTGTTCCAGAGCAAGATCGCTGAAAACCATAACCTTTTCCGGTAGTGTAAAAAATAGATACCCTGTTCCAGAGAGGAGAGAGCATGATTTCCTATACCCTGTCCCAGAGCGAGCACGATTTTATATACCCTGTTCCAGAGTAGAATCGCTGAAAACCATACCCTGTTTGGCGGCACGTACCAATATAGCGAATATAGAGGAGTACCCTCCCCCCCCCAGTTTTGAAAACAACTGTACAACAACAATTCCATTGCAACAATGATTACCAGGATCTGTATCCTTTTGTTGTCAATGAACATCCACACTTGGGATGCATTAGAGAAGGCATTCCATTTTAATCAGTGTAATCAGAACAAAATCAGAGAGAAAAGGATACTCCTTCACCAAAAAAAAAGCAACTATTTTATAAAGGGACGTTTTAACAGTGATTATATTTTTTGCTCATTTATAACAAAATTATTATGTCATTTATTGCAGGAGTTCATTCTGATATCGGTTGTATCTTTGACGACGAAACACCAATCTATGCATTTGCATATCGTACACATGCTCATGCTTTAGGTATGATAATAACTGTATTATGCAATCTATAATTGAGACCATCTCGTTGAGGCTACAGTATGTTGCACTTGGTCACAAAACCTCAAATATGCACTGTATTAGTTATTTCTCTCTTGACATTCCACTATGTTACTGTATGTCCAAGGAGAAATAAAAGTGCTCAATAGACTTATTTAGCAAGATGGTCTCAGTCTTCATCTCTTTCTTGATATCCACATATAGATTAGTAGTAATCTATATAGTTCTAAATAGACACACAAGGCTTTCAGAATGTTTTGTAGTAGGTGCTCATTACTCTGAAGAAGCTTGCTGAGATCTGATACAAGGAACAGAATTAACTTTATAGAAAAGAAGAAGTAGCCAGCTAACTTTGAAGCAATCACTGGAGCTCCAGTGGCCACTGGCCTACTGTATTCTGAAAGCTTTGTGCACAGATTTGCAGAGCACGAGAGAAGGGTTTGGAGAAGCATGACATATACTTTCAACACTTCTCATTCCTAGTGCTTTATAATTTCACTCAGCACAGATAGCAAGTTATTTATTTTTTTTAAAAACACAAAATAGAATACTGTACATGTAAGCATTATTTTAGATAGGAGTGATGAACTTGAAAGTTCTGTATGCTCTATGCTCCCATAATGAATGCACCCCCAACCATTCAGAGTATGAGATTTATAACTTACAATTATCTTATAAATTGACGATACGTGCTGATGCGTGTCGGGTATTTGGGGGGGGG